ACATTTGCTGTATCGCCCGTTACGGTACCTTAAGCTGTATCGTAAGTTCAATCGTTGATTGGGTAAATACGGTGCTCGCACGATACCATACTTTAGCCGTATCGTAAGCGTGATTCCTGATTGGCTGAGAGACTTTCTACTGACAACTGGTCTACGTCATCTTGTCACACAACACCGAKWTGCTGAATTCTCGCCACCTGTTTTTGCTAAGTTTTCGACGGAAAATTYGACCAGAAAAGCCTTTTAAGGATGAATGTCAATGGGAATCAGTTTTTTGTAAGTAGGGATTTTATAAAATGACTGGCAGATGTTGAGATTTGGAGATTATTATATCAATATTCCTCAATTTTTCGCCATTTCGAGACCTCACTCGTGTCGATCTGTTGAGAAAATGTAGTCTTGGTATCCTGATGTCAGCTTGATAAAATGAACTTTTTAATGAATAAACCAGTTGAATTAGCTTTTGTTTGTATTTATTTGAGCACTGAGAATATTTGCACGGTGAGAATATTTGCAATTCATTGTGTGAAAGTTTTTAGTTTGTCAAACTTTCGCGCGTGACATGTTCAGTCGATAGTTTTAAGCATAACTTGAAATTTTTTGAACTACTTGCTTGACAATAATACCACTTAAATGTTTTGTTGGGAAAATTAGCCTATTTTTCGTTGTGATTATCACTATTTCTTGAGATTAACTAATAAGAAATGATCGAAGGAACCCCGAAGGAATCCGTATCGTAGCCGTATCACGTCAGCGTCGGTTTCCCACTCATACGAAATCGCCTATAAAAGTCGATAAATAAAAACCGATTAAAAATCACTTCCGAGCCGACGAGCCACACAGATTGAAAGCCACTCCGATTTGGGCCCTGTATTCTTTAGTCGCTCCAGAATAGGTGTCAATACCTTACCCTAGTTCACACGAAATTATAGCCTGATTCGGACCAATAAACAAGMACTAAGAGCCAGAGAAAATCCTTGATTGGCTCTGTCTCGCTCTTCTTATGCCTTTAAAGTACTTTATGGCTAGAATCACTCTCGATTCTCGCTGAGTTCTCCCTTAAAGTTTCGTACGGGATGCCTAATCGCCATTATGGCGCCAAAAATATAAATGCGATATCAATGCAATTTGATGGCATACATCTTTAAAACACTGAAAAACATATTCCCTCAATAAAATCTTACCTTTACATCTTCATAAGATTCAGTTTGGGGTCAGACTTCATTCAAAATCCTCTAAAAAGATAGGTAAGTTCAACTTATTCACTTGATTCCGATCATTTCGTGCCAGCAGTTGTACAACCGAGCTTGGTCACATGCTACCCATCACCACTTGCGAAAGATTGTTACCACAGGAAGACCAAAAAAAGTTGAAGGATTTATGATCCTTTACTAATGCTATTCAAATGCGATAGTTACATGTAAGCTTCAATATTGATTGCTGAACCTCGATCATATCTTGAGCCATACGAGGTATTTAGCTATTTTGGTTGATAGGTTTTACTGTGTCCAACCATAACACAGGAATCCCGATCTATGAATTTGTRATTTTTTTTAAATAAAGACATTAGATTTAAAATTGAGGTCTCTTTATTTTTTATGTCCATCCTTTGCATTTCACTTTATATTGATTGCATTTCTGGCTGTACCTCTGGCTTAATTATTTGGGTACCCTATCTTTGGCTTAAGCTCTAGCGAGCATGCTCTGTAGTCAGAAAGGGCGCCATGTTTTAAATCAGTCGCAGTATTCACGTTTCTATGAACATTTGGTTTCATAATGTCATATAGTTTAGAAGAAATCGCAGTAATTTTCGTAGTTCTTGTAACGATATTAATTCTTTCGCTGTTTTTTGGTTTATTCTGGGCTGTTCTCTTAGTATTTACGCTATTATGGCTACTCTATAATTTTGGAAGAGAAAAKGTACGAAAAAAAGCCGTCAAAACCTCAGTCAGTCACGACATTGATTCCAAGCAAGATGATTTGATAGATGGAGAGATGTATTCCAAAGGTGGAATGGATGTACCTTTTACTGGAATTCCYAGTCCTAAAGTTCAATCTGTACGTTCTCCAATGCCGCTGCTCTCGGTCGTAACAAAAAGGCTCAGCTTCAACACAAGGTGAAGTTAACTTTACTTACTGTACAATGAGAATGCCTGAAATATGTAACTTTACTTTCTGTCATTCCAGTATTTCCAGCTTGTCTAGTTAGTATTATTAACTTATTTTTATGTGTAGATAATTTTGTTTAGCTGTTAGGAATATACTTATTTTAATACAACTATTCAAATGTACATGTTGAATACTTTGCTTACATGACCAATGTCTTAGTATGCTGTCAGACTAATAAGTTATAACTTGAACATCTAACATTTGGTTTCACTGGGAATCGAACTCATGACCTCTGCATTGCTAGTGCAGTACTCTACAATCCACCRAGATATGAAGCCAACTGTATGTTGGTGGGCAAACATTTTGTTGGGTGAATATAATCCATCTTTCTTTAAAAACAATTTTGTAATTATGGTCTGTGAACTGTGATCAATAGATTTAAGTAGAATATGACCACAGAAGTGCATAAGCCCCCAAAAATGTTTACATTKATTTTAATCCATTTGACCATATTTGCAACACAAAAWRTATCATTAAATRTGTTTATTTTTTTTCGTTCCGGTATCCTAGTCATTAGCATGCTGTGATTGGCTAGCGCGCGGTCCAATTTTTCACGATCTGCCCGGTCCGACAGTATCCTGCAGCTAGGCTGCGAGCAAAGTTTCATAAAATACAAATAAAAATATACAAATGTTATTTACCGGCTATAGGTTGGTCYGAATAGGAAAACACTGCCCTTGGTCTTTTATGTATGGACCTCGCTGCGCTCTTTCCGTACTGTCAAGACCTCGGGTAGTGTTTTCCTATACGGACCTCCCAGACGGTAAATAATGTAATAAAATATGCTGGCTTCTGTGCAGAAAGTGGAATTCAAAATGCTTGTTAGCAAAAGAACAAATTCAAAATTCCTGAGTCMTTGGTTAGCCCTAGGTTAGGTTTAGGATAAGATTTGTGTTGTGTTTGATTATTTATCTTTTTTCCTTTAGGGGTATGCCTTGTGCATTTTTAGTAATAACAGAAGAAGAAGTAGAATAATTCACTCCTTTGAATCAATCTCACTTTACATGTATTTCACATAAACTGACAGCTCAATGTATTTTACTTTGATTTTTTATTCTTATAATAAGAATGGCAAATGTTGAGTTGTAACATTTTGATATATTTTTCTCTTCTTCATTTGCAGTTCATTCTCACCAAGAGAGAATAGCCGTTCTGTCTATAGGAGGTCATTTGGTTCACCAAGTCCATCAGTATCACAGCAAAGTCCTAGTAGACACTTTAGTCTAATTAACCCTAAATTTCAGCAGCAGCAACCAACTATCAAAATAGCCCCACCACCAGTTGAAAGACTTGTACCCGTGTAAGCTAGATGTATCATTTTTGTTACAGCTGTGAATTGAAAAGTCGTTTGCGTGTTATATTTTTTTGTACTATTTTTTGTTGTTGTTGTTGTTGTTGTTGTTGTTGTTGTTGTTTTGTTTAGTTTGGTTTGGTTTGGTTTAAATACAACATCTTATAATGTGTACAAACACTGCCACTATCCAGGGATATATATCCATGAATATCCAGGGATGAACTGGACAAAGCCCTTATAGGCAATTTCACAGATACATGTAACTTAGCCATCAGAAATTCAGCAGTCAAAAATCATCACAGCTGACAAGTGAAAAGAGCAGCCTAAAATCAATAAATTTACCAAGTTTCAATAGTCTGTTGAAAATTTAGATAAAGCTTCCGAATTTACAAATTTTTCCAAAGAAATGTATGGTGGGTGTTTACAATTTCAACATTCCTTTTGGTGTTTCTAACTAAAGTGCTAGTGTCTTCTGGACTTTGCTGCGTATTTCTCTCAAACTTGGTAAATGTTATACGTTGTAGCATTCTTTTCAGCTGTGATGATTTTGAGGTAGTTGAGTTATCAATGCCATGCTGTCATTCACCTACAAAAAAAACACCCATTATGAACAGTTTTCAAATAGAGATTCCACAATAATTATTAAAGATTGCATTGCATTTATCAGGCTGAACAAATTCATTTTATTAAATAATGTAGTCAAGAAGAAGCAAAGGAATCAATACAAGATCCATTATCAAGATCAACTATTTTGTCAGCTCTTAAACAAAGCACAGCAAGGTATGATAAAATTGCAATAGTGATTTATTAAAATTGTTTTCTAAGATAAAACATCAGCTGACATTATACAGAATTTGGAGCATATGGGAGATGGGTAATTTCCTGTGGTTTAAAGTATGAAGTGCATCTGGTGATAATGAGCTCTACTTGCTTTGATTCAAGTTTTKCTTGTAAAATAATAGACATTCAGGGGAGAAAAATTATTGGGAAACACATAGGTAATTGTGGCAATTTCTTAGATCTTTTTCTCATGAGCTGRGGTACATGTAGAATGTTATCACATTTCAAAGTTTTCAATAATGTATACACCTAATTACACAAATGTTGTCCAAGAAAAAAGAACTTTTACTATTTAGGAATTAATTAAAAAACAAAAGAAAGTGTTTGGCTTCAGTGGTCATGCTTTGTCTTTTACTGTATTCTTAATTTCCTAAATCCTTAAATCTCAGGACAACGTTTTCGTAATTAGGTGTATTTTTTCTGAGTTATAAACATTTGAAAATTAGAAATGCAAATCAAAGTTATAATACAAATCATGTGTGTACACAGTAATAATCTTGTTTGTCATGTGGTATTTGATTTTTATTGTAGAAAGCGAAGTGCTTATGAAGAAGATGATGACACAGATTTTATCATTGCACAATCTGCAAACACTAATAAGAGAAGGTAAATTCTTCAAAATTACCTGACTATGGACTGTACTGACCTGTGTTTCATCAGAAGCTGGTATATTTTGTGACCTCAATGATCATTTCCCCTAAATGACGTACTGTCTGTTTTTGTGAAATGCATTTTTGTGATACTGACAAAAGTCTAAAAATATAAAATCTACAAAGACGAAGTTTGCTTTATTGGTCATTTGTATAAGGAATTATGATCGTTGCAACAGAAATTATAGCAATTTAAGCCATTATTAATAAATGGAAATGACATATTTCATTGCCATGATCAAAATTTCTTTCACATTTTTTAAAAGTTACAGTTTGTCTTAGCATTGTTGAGAATGATTTGAAAAAACAATAAATTGGATTTCTATAGACTATAGTATTCTCCATAAATGATTCTCAAATGGAGTCAGCAGCTTTGCAAAGAAATTCTGTCCTTCCTGGTGGTCCTTGATAGGTTTTATAAGACATTCACCATCTTCATACTGTTATACATGTATATGAGAATATTGAGATCCAAAGTTGGCATCAATAAGTCAGACAGGGTAGTATGAAAGGTGTTCATAATACTAATAGCTTGCAAATGTTTTAGTGTTTTGAATACAGAAATATTTAGTAAATTATGGTCTTTTTTGCTCATATTATTTCAAGTAGATATAAAATTTATCAGAAACTATGTAATATTATCGCCAATATTTTTTTTAAAAAGTACTAGTGCTAAACAACTTCACAAAATATTGGCGATAATCCTATAATTTCTGATATATTTTATATATACTTGGAATATCAAAGTCAAAATGTCAAAAGTCAAAATGATCATATTTCTGCATATTGCTGTATAAAGCAAAATTAAATTTTGTGTAAAAACATTTTTTAAAAATATTGAAATAACATCAAAATTACTCATAATGCAACACCGTTTTCAGTATATTTGCAAAAACCTGTATTTCAAAYTTCAGTATGAATGTGTCATTCTTTTAATTCAGGAGATACAATTACCCAACTTACTCTGAAAATGAAAATCCAACAGTAGAGACCACAGCTCTAGATGTCACTCAAGATGTTATAGTAAATCAATCTAAAACAAACAATCACTCAGTCAGTAAGCAAGATGTTACAGAGGATAAAATCAACCCACCTGACGTGATAAGAGTGCCTGGAATTAGTGCCCTCATCCAGACCAGGCTAAAGAGAAGACCTCTTCATAGCACTGATGATGGGGATGAAGTTAAAGAAGCTCTTTCCAAGAAAAAGAGACAGGAATCCCATTTGCAAAAGGTAAAAAAACATTCAGAAATCATTATATTGGTAAGGATTCTAAGTGTAGAAAATTGCAGGAAAAAAATCAGAAAAACTGGGAATTAACACACTAGACAATCCATGTTTTTTTAAAAAGCCTGTTTTCACCATATTAATTATCAGTGAGTGTATCATCAGCAAAAATATAAGTTTAACAATTGCAGAATGGGAAGCGTTATGACAGTATTACCAATGGTCTTTGAAGGAAAAGCAAAGCTGAATGTCCAAAAGTAGTGTTATTTTTGTTCTTAAGTACAATTCTGCTCCACTATACATGCACACATGTATGTAGTACTTTACCAGAATGGCTGACACACCATTATGAGGTCTCTTGATTGTAGAATTGACTGTGATTGCATGAATGACCTCAACAATCAACACAATAAAAAAATCTGTCAGAAAGCTATCACAAACATTAGACATAATGTACTGTCAATATGATCATAAAAAATGGTTCTCAAATTTTGATTTTAATAAATAAATTATAATTTTTTTAAATAAAATTGCTTATGAGTCAAGGTAATCTTTATGACTTTATTAGACAAAAGAAAKTGTGTCTCAGAAGACATCAAATCCACAAGTTAAACCAACTGAAAGAGACCATAGTGCAGAGCCAGGCAGTGAATGTACTAGTAAAACAAATGAAGAATCTTCTAAGCAATTAAGGTAAATATTGGTATATATCTCATCCCATGTCTATAGGTGCCAGGCTCAAAATGACGTAGTTTGTTTACATCCAAAATATCAAATTTTCAACACAAAAAAATAAGCAATCTGAACTCAGACATGTAATTCAACATTATATTACTCTCAACAAAACCTGAAAAATTTAGGGGAATGCCTTACATTTCGTACAAGTTATTGGCATTTAAAAACTACAAAATCTATATGGAAACATTCAGTRGTTGGCAACATTATGCCCACCACAGTCATTTCTTTAGAAWATCTTGCAAATTTGTTGCTTGAAACTGTATCTGAGTCTTAAAATGTTCAACCAATTGCCTCCAAATTTTCAGGAATTGCTCACAGGTATGAGCTCTTTTCATTTATGGGCTTGATTTTCTTCTGGTTTGAAATTAGATTTCTGACTTGCAAATTAGCAAGCAACAAACAAGTTGAGACTCCACCTTAGGCAACTCTATGGAGGAGGTTATAAAAGCTGTTATATGTACTCTTATCCCTCTGAACGAGTATAAAATATTTMATRKCTAAACTTCATTCTCACAATAACCACAGGACAACGTATTATAGGTGGTGGGCATCTCATTTATTYGTGCATGTCTCTTCGTGCATGTCTCATAGGCAATACAGAGATATAATAATCATTTACGAGGCAGCGTGTATGGCGAAAATTAAATAGAAAAACATTGCTATACTATTCATAACATGGTGTACAGSCGGGTAGAATATGAACTGCTGTAAGTTTTCACACCCAAATTATGT